GTGGAGTTTCATCATGTTCCTGCAGAAACCTCTCCAGTATAATCCGAGCCATTAATGAGGGTGCATACTCCACCTTTATAAAAGTAGAAGTAGAAAATTAAAACTGTCAACTTGTTCAAGCAGTTGATATTACAATATTTTGTCAACACTGAAGATTTAGTCAATTCTAATCAACCACAGCAAGCATCATTCATTAAAATCTTTCCTATTCTTGGTGGCTTCCATTACAATAAAATTATTACAAGAATGATCTGCGCTTGTGAAAAGAATAAATAGGTCAAATCTAATGAACATAACATCAGAGCAAGGAGGGTAGAAGAGCCTAGAAATAATCCTCATCTAAAACAGAAAAGCAGACTTTTCTCATCTCTCAAATTTTTTTGTTAGTGGCCAATTTGATTTTTTTATCCTAGCATTGCTTTTTATTTAACCCAACTGTCTATATTTAATTATTTTGAATAATGTAAATAAAATAAAAAGTTCTTTTATTATTTAGTCACTATAAACATATGGATTTTATTGCTTTTATATTATTCTTAAAGATAAGTGAAATTTTGGTACAAGTACCTTACTTATAAAATATATTGTTTGATAAAAATGATATATTAGAAATTAACAATAAGACGCAAGAATAATATCTGCAATATATGAACACCATCCTTATGCCACAGTTATCTAAAATGCTGCTTACCAATTTATTTAATACAGAACCCAAGAAGGTAACTTTTTATAAAGAATCTAACATTAAACAAGAATATTCAGTCCAAAAATTATTTAAAATTAATAAAAGGCAACTGTTCTTTTATAAAGACACTGTGGGGTTTTTTTGTTGTTTGTTTCTTATATCTTTTATTGAACACTGATTTAATTCCACCAGAAAATAGGTACAGTTCTTAAGAGAAAGAACGCTTCCCGAAAATAAGTCTTTATCTTAGGTGTAAGATAGGAAATGTGCCTCATATATTATCACTATGAATTTTTCTTGACAGGTTTTCAAGTTCCATGTTCATACCAAAATTTTATCTTGATTTAGTAACTAGACAAAAGGGCTAGCTTCATTTGTATGAACAGTTTTCTTCAAATATGTATGTACTTGGATGCCCTTAAATTCTCCAAGTAGAAAGAAATGCTTTCCACGAAGCTGCTTATTCCAAGGAACCCACATCAGAGCTGACACATGAAAAATGGTGAAATTACTGAAGGTAGTCCAGCCTGAATAAGGACTACCTTATTAGTTCAGGTACTTGCATCTCCCTAATTTTCATATTAATCATGTGTCCATCTTTCTCTGAAATAGGGCCATCATGCTTCATGTCAGAATTTAGCATGTAAGTAAAATTCATAGTGCTTCAAATCTAACTTGAAAATATTTGTGTGACCAGAATGACTGATCTTATCCCTAACAAAGTGAGATTTTTGAAAATGTTCATATTTAGCCTTGGAATAGAATAAGTAACATTAAGACATTTATAAAATCAACAATGGCCACCTATAACCCACAACCCCCAAATCAACAATAATATAGTGCTTCTGTTTAAGAGATTTGCTATACACTATAATATACAAATGTTATATCTTTCCCATCAATTTTACAGTTTCCACTGATTAAATATATATTGACTCATAAACTATTACCATCACATCAGTTGTCACCAGATGCAAGTGCATGTCATTTAAGTATTAACTATTATATAAAAATGGCAGCTGGGTTGTTTAGAAGCCATAATCTGGGACTAGCATTTCTAGGATTCTCTAAAGCATTAGCAATATCATAGAAAGTGTTATTCTCTCTGTATAAATCAGCAGTGAAGGAGTAGTCTGCACATAGCTACTTCTTTTCTTTGTCTAAATATTTTTATAGAGGCATGGTAAATAACAAATTTGTTGGGCCAGGGGTGTACCTCAGTGACACACTGCCTGCCTAGCAAAAGTGAGGTCCTGAGTTCGATTCCCAGTGTCAAAAAATAAATAAAACAGTAAAAACAAATTTACTGATGTTGAAGAAAATGCATTGATGGGTAAAATTTTATCATATTATCAGAAGATGGAAGTTGAGGTCAGCTATGTTAACTAAGCTAAACAAAACTATTAAAACTATTAAAAATTAAAATGACTATAAATTGCTATAACATAAAACTTATGTAATCAACATCATTATCTATAAAAATAAATACATGCTAGCATCATCTTTTTAGATGCTATGTCTAGAAGGCTATTTTCTCACTCTCATTTTTCATAAAAGGCAATTAAATCACAAACTATCTAGTTATAGCTAAGATACCTCATGTTATTGAAAGTATCAATTTGTAACAAACATAGCTGGAGACATTAAAAATACACCCTAATCCAGAAACAAAAAAAAAAAAAAACAAAACTCAAAAACAAAACAAAATTGATGTTTTGCCTAGAGAGAAATCCCCTCTATACATTAGCTACCCTATCCCAACGTGTAGACATCACCGGGACTGCTAAGACCTTCTAGTCACTGATGGGTAATTGCTCATTTGCTGAGTACAGCAGAGCACAGCAGACAGAAGCTGCGGGGAAGTCATCTCTCCTTGCTAATATAACATGTAGAACTTGCTGCTGCAGCAGCAGCACTTAATGCATACGGTACAGAATCATCTTTAATGCAAACACACATTTTCTGCCTTGCTTCTACGCTTTCCATTATAATGCAACATAAAAACAGTGTACATTTCATTCCATCCCTATGAGGTTTGCATAAGCCGGTCCAAGTCAGACTAAATATTGTATTGCTCTTATTACAGTGGATAAATATTTTAGAGTTTAGGAATTAAATATTTTATTTTTCAGTATGCTCTCTGCAACTATTATGAACTTTTTACAGTTTCTCCATTCACAGGAAATCTTTAGGGTTTTCTTTTCTAAATGTAATGCTGTTAGTTATTTCCCCAAACAGAAGCAGATCACAGTTAACAAATAAGTTCAATAAATCACTTTATACTTAGTGTTAACAAGAATATTAGGTTTCATCTTAGAAGGAGACTTTTCTATCAAGCATATATCCTCTATTATAACAAAAGTTTGCAAACAAAAAAAATGAATCAAGTAAATGTTACATTTTTAAGTATGCAATTTCTCTCTTCATTTTTATAATAGCCTAGATTTTCCTGGCATTTGTCTCTTCACTAGACACAGGTATTTCTCACACTAAACTAAGGCAACATCTCCAAAGAAGAGCATGTCCTGAGTTGTTTAATTTGAATTTTCCACAAAATAAGAAACCAAGCAGCTGCTTATACATTTGCTGTAAAAGAAGCAGACTAATTATGTCAACTAATTTATTAATACATGACGCTCTTTGTCCAATTATTAAAAGTACAAAGAGACCAGGGAGCAATTTAAATGTCTAATGCACCTCAAAAAATTTTAAGGTTAATTACAATTCTAAGCAAATCTTTGGAAAATTCCCTTCAGTTTTTGTAGGTTTAAATAAAATCATAACAATAACATTACCTCATTGGCCAGCTCCAGGAGCACTGGGGCAGCTCCATTTTTCACCACTCCATTCAGGTACCTAGACAAGACAAAGCCAAGTGGTACTGCAGTGACAAGAAAAGGCCAGCCTAGACTTGTCAGCATCCCCTGTGTGTATACATTTCTCCTGGGCAAATGCCACGTTCAACTCCTGTTAAAGTATGCTACTGTCATAGGAAAGTGTCCCAGGGAAAGGCATAACAAAAACAACTGACCTTAAAACCAAATAACTGGGATTGGGCAGGAGATCTGAGCTCATCAGTTGTGCTTGCTTCCACCTTTTATCACACAAAGTGAACAAAGAGGTGGTTTTTAAAGAACAATCCATAGGACTCTGTTTTTGTTTGTATCACAGACAACTATCATGTGGAAAGAAAATTTAATGGCTTTCCTAGTTTGAAAACCATCCACATAGCCATCTCCTACCTCTTTCATTTGCTCTGCTTCATGGGGCTGATCGAGACCCTCTTCAGTGAAGAACTGGACCAACTAGGGTGAGCACACCTTTGATATTAGTCATCATCCTATCTGCCCTGCATTTCTGTAATAATGTCTAGCTCTGATCACTATCTAACCTACCACAAAACAAAATCTCCAAATGCATCTCACATATGGAAGATGGGATAGATTTTTTTAAAACAAATATTGGAATGTGCCATTTTTCCACTTTAAATACTTCTAATGTCCTACATTAAATTATAACCACTTAACAGTTCTTGTGAGTTTCTTCATAAGCTACCTACTCTGTTCTCCCAGTCTCATTTTTAGTTGTTAGCTCCATCTCTTACCCTTCACAGTAACTTACCATTCACTTCAGGTTAACTTGCCATTCAGCTCAGATCATCATCTTCCTCAATTCACCACCATCCAAGAACACATCAACAGTGCTCCACAGCAATGGAGCAGCACAGTGTGCACCTCTCTCTCACACTGCCTGAACACCATATCCCCCCTTATTCTCCAAGGGTACATTCAACACCCACAGTGGATGCCTGAAGCCATGTATAGTACCAAAGCCTATACATACTATCAGGTTTTTGTTCTGTACATATATATCATAAAGTTTCATTTATAAATGAGGTATCATGAGATTAATAATAATACAGTAACAAACTAAAATGAAAGTTATGTAAATAGTCTCTAAAAGAACCTAATTGAAGTATACCTATAGTTCCTACAAAGACGACGGCAGATAAAACAATGTTTGTGTAATGCGATGAAGTGAGTTGAATGACACAGGCATAGTGACAAGGCATTAGGCCACCACCGGCCTTCAAAGGACAGGTCACATGGAGGATCATCAAGCTAGGATGATGCCAGCACACCATGCATAGGTTAGTCAAAAACAAAGAGAGCAAAACCTTGGATAAAACAAGTACTATTGTATTTGTATGTTTCAAACATATCCTCTATCATAATGCTGAAAGCCTCGAAAGAGTGGAAGAGTTCTATTTTATTCCATTTGTCATGCATAGCACTGTTCTTGGTTTACAGTGGGTGAGTATGTAATACATACACATATATACTTTTTAAAATAAATGAACATATATTGTCCAAAAAAAGACTCCTGGACAGATATTATCTTTATAGAATACTGTTCGCATGAGTATATTAAGGGTATTTGTCTTATGGTAAAAAACATAAAATATTTAGATGAGGTCTTCTATACAACTTCCAGAAGCACATGCTAAATTACATTATTTCTTTTTTTTTTTTAATTTGTAAACATCCAGTTTCTTTTATCACAGATTAAAAATATTAGTATAACATATTCATATGGAAAATTATATATATGACACTTTCCATAAATTTTTCTTAATGATTCATCATTTTTTCCTTACATTATTTCATAAATACATTTACAAAAGATGTATAAGTTTTCTGTAAGCAAAGTAAGATAAAATCAAATTATTTAAAGTAGGGAGAACTGTAGGATTATTATAACTTCATATTAATTCTAACAAATCATTTTACATATACTGAGACTCTTTTTGAATATATTATTTAGCAAACTAACAGGGAAATGGGACCTTCAGATGTAATAAGAAAAAGAATGATGAAACAAGGCAGGTGCAGTTTAGAGAGGATCCTTAGGAGTAAGTCAGCGGAGAAATCCCCTCACAGAAACTGCTCGGAGCGAGGCCCGCTCACAAGCCACCACGCACGTGTTTGTGGCCACCAGAGCGCCATGTTAACTGTGCTCAGGGCATATGATCTAAAACTGCCATCAGGATGGCTGTGCAATTTTCTATTTAACTTTCAAGTATTCCAAAAAGTATTTGTGCTTTTCTTATTTTGTATTAGTACATGCTTGCAGTACAGTATATAATGACCACATTCCTTGTGGGGAGCTGATACGCGTACATAACACATCACTTCTTTTTCATCCTCTTCTCCCTGCCCTATCTCTTGATTCCCTTTTTGTTTAAGAAAGATTTCTCCCTCTATTTTATCGTATCTACTTTTTATTTTGCTCTTTTTATTTATATTTTGGGTTTCACATATAAGAGAAAGCATGCAACAGTTAAACAGTCCACAAGTAGTTCTGAGAGCTACAGGTTAGGTCTTATTCCAAGTGGAAGAAAAAGCAGGGAACCAAATACTCCTATTTTCCATCATCACAGAGCTATTCCGGTGGTTGGACAGTTAACTATGACCAATGGGAAATAATTACATACTACAATGATACGTGCTATGGTAAAATTTAAATTTTGATCACTTGGTCAGGGCCAATCTCTAACTAGACTGTAAGTTCCTTGGGGAAGGGCTACACTAACATATGCCAGATCCCTCGCTATGATCTAAGCTGTACTTGGATAGAAGAACGTTCCTCTGACCATCCATCGGTCACAATACTACTACAGTTCTACCTTACCAACATGAAAAAATACAACTAGCCTATACTTTGCTGAAAATCAAATACTGAGTCCTTCTTTTTTTTAGTTTAGTACAGGGTCTACAAGGTCTCACTACACAGATTGGACTCTTAGTGATCCTTCTGTTTTCAGCCTCCCAAACACTGGGATTAGAAGCACACACCACCACATCTGGTCTCAGCGTGGCCCAAGGGCGGAGCCGGCACTGCATGCTGGAGATTGAACCCTGTCCCTGCATCTGCCAAAGCACACATTTTAATCCACTGAGCTATCTGGGCAGCCCTCTATAATACTCATTTTAATAGAAAAATCATATTCCTTTGAACAAGGATTCAGCAGTTGCCTGCTTTTTTATGTTCATCTTGTCCTTCTCCATTTGTTCTCTATGCTCACTTCCAAAAATATCAGAGCTCTGTCACTGTCTTTTCTACATCTAGAATGCTTTCCTCTTCCTAATAAACTGAAAAAGTTTTTTTTTTTAAATTTTTTTATTTCTAGACTGCATGTATTCACATGGCTCCTGACAGCCCAAATGGATCACTGATGGAGGCCACATTGCTTTATATATAGTCATACTGTTAGCCCTTCTCACTACTATTTTATCTATTTAGGCGCACGGCTGCTTTCCCACATAATACTCATAGGAGAGTTGAAGGCAGGTACTCTGTCATTCACATTTGCATCATCAGTTGCTAGCATAGTAGATGGAACATGTCCATCCACAATGAATGATGCTAATTGAATGATAAAGTGGTACAGGTTTTTGGAAACTATTTTTACCAATATACTGTCAATATCATATTTGAACTAACCTTTTTTCTCTGTGGACATCAGAATAAAATTCAACTGCATGAATCCTCTAAAGCTACTGAAGTTGGATCCTTAGTCAGTGTGCACTGGGAAAAAGGAAGAGATGGGGACAGTAATCCTAAACTTTGTTATAGCTAGGGTTATAAATCTGATATGTACTTGAGCACATGAGATCAGATGCACCAATTAAGGTGAACCTCAATAAGAATGTTTCCTGCCTGGAAATATAACGACATTAGCATGGTATGAAAGAATAAAGAATTTTTTTCAAAATGAACACGAGCTATCTATAAATATAAAACACAAATAACTGAGGAAGTTTTCTCTATAATTCGAAAGGCTGAAAAAACATTTTCTAGTGCTATCTGCAGTCTATGAAATTTCAGTTAGCCTTAATGCAATCACATTAAGTATGGACACTGAATTCTTAATTAATGTCATCTCAACGCTAGCAGGAATGCAGACATAGAAAGTAGCTCGTCTGCAGTAGGAATGTAGCTAGTACATCTGCAGATAGTAATTTAGTAATATATTTTTTAAATGTTCACATTGTTTGCACCAGTAATTAAATACAGAGAAATAAAGACGTGACTCCAAGGTCAGGCTCATGTGTCAAGATGTTTACTGCAGAATTATTTACAATACCAGAATCCAGGAAACAGAAGTTCAATAGAGGAATAATTCAGTAATTTTTATACTTTCACATGATGAAGTAAGGCAACCAATAAACAAAAGCTTTTTATAAAACAGTATTATGCCATATACATTTTTCCAAGTATTAAAATTCAGGATTCACAATTTTTTTTTCTTTTATTTTTGTATTTTAAGTAAGGGTCTACAGGGTGTTCAAGGTCTCACTACTAGATCAGACTTGTGGTGATCTGCCTGTTTACAGCCTCCCAAGAGCTAGGATTCATAATTTCACAAGCCCTCATTTATAAAAAATGGGTTGATTAGAGACTGGAATTAAATTTTAGTCAGTAGTTATCTGAGCAGCAAAACTATGGACAATACCATCACAAAGGCATTTAATTTTCACAATCAAAGATACCACTTCTACCAAAGATAAAAAAATAAGTTGTTAATAAGGTTTTCAAACTGCTTAAACATGCCTGATATTACATAATTTGCCTTCATTCCAGCTAGGGGAAAGCAAACAAAAACCTTATTTAAGGCCAATTTACCAAACTAAAAACAGGGACCCATACGTCTAAAATAAGCGGCTAGTGAGGTCCATGCATCTGAAAGGTAACAAGGCTGTTGGGAAAGGTCTGAGGAGCTGGGGGCACAGCAAGAAACTGGCCAGGCTGCTCTTTTCCAAGGCCATCACAACCTAACTTCATATTTTTGTTTCAAATACTGTAATTTCTCAGAATAGCTAAGGGTCATGTTTAAGCAAATGTAAAGAAATATGAATATATTTCTACTGTCTCATTATTACCTACTTGACTGTCCCTGAGTATACTTAAAATTTTGTTTCTCACCTAAACCACTCAGATAATACTCCCCCAAAAGTATTTTCAGAATTTAATAATTAAATAAGCTTTTAATAAAACAGATTGAAAGTAGCATAGAAATTCTAGAAATCATCTAATTAAAAAAATAAGCCTTTTCATAATGAGGCAAATGAATACCAGAAGGTAATCCCATCACCTTTGTAAGGGGTCTCCAAATTTTAAACACTATACTCTAAAATGTTCACTTTTCCTCTATTTTTGTTACAAAGCTTTAAATCTGGTTATAGAACCAACATTTTACGTAACAGCCTGGTACCATATAGTACAAAGAAGAATGTACTGGGGGCATACAAAAAATAACTTTTCAGTCTTTCTTTGTAGGTTTCACAGGATTTCATTAGCCATTCTTAATTTTATCATGTATGATTTCAGTTATGACTTAAATTTTAATGTTAAATTTACAAAGGTGATAAGTTTCAAAGAAATTCCTTCAAACACTAAAAAAACTTCTTAGAGGAAACTCTGCTAGGCCAAAAATGTTTGGGGACAGACAGAATGAAGGGAGGGATACTGTGTGTACCTTTAGCAGACCTAACTATGCAAAACAAAGAGTATCTTCTACTATATAATAGAGAAAATGTTTTAAAAATTTAACTTAAAAATTAACTTCAATAATTTTTCTGTTTAATATCTATACCTCAATTCTTTAAAAATAACTTTAAAGAAACATAACACAAGTACTATATCCACATATTTGTTTCATTCATAAAATTTTTGTGCATAAAATCATTAATTTAAATCAGTGTTGTCATTCTCACCATAAAGAGGCTGACCTGTCAATCCGGAGTACAATTTCAGCATATTTCAAACAATTTTCCTTTCCAATATGCCCTTGAAATATTTAGGAATCTAACCATTTCTAATGCAAATCATTACATTTAGTGGCATAAATTATTCACTCATATTATGACAGTACAGATTTTAGAATTAAAAAATCAGAGTTACTTTAAGGATTGTTTTAGAACAAGAGGTTGAAAAGTCTTAATAATGCTGAAATTGAAATCTCTTTTTGGATACTATGTTGTTGACTTAACACCCAAGCTTTTCATTTTAAGATACAAACACATTTTATTTTATTTATTTACTAATTTATCTATTTATTGCATGTCGAGTGCAGCTGGTGATTTTTTTGTATTTTTTTAAAAAGTAACATTTTAAAAAAACAATAAAAAGGAGAAAGAATTTCAAAACAAGATGATAAGAAATTAACAATGGTTGTTAAATTGCATGTTGTTATCTTCAAAGTAGTTGTTCAGATTACCAGATACAGGCATGCAAAAGTGATCAAAAATTAAGCGTTAACTGTTCCTTTAAATAAACCAATAGAAATTAGTAGTACAATTATCTTAGTTATTGTGTGTGTGTGTGTGTGTGTGTGTGTGACACACACATGCATTTTTCCCCTTCTGACTTTTTGCTTTTCTCCTTTCTCTCATCCCAGTTATTCTTTCCTTTTGAGCAGTTTCTTTCCCTGACACAATATCTGTTGTACCTTTCGGACTTTATTTACAAAACCCATTTTAAAACGTGACAGTTATAGCATATATCTCCAAATGTCCTTATTTGATATATATCTTCCTTTTAAATTCTAAAATAGCTAACTAATACCCATGAGGTAAAACACATTGTATCAAAATTCAATCTTATTCTTTCCACTTGCTGATATAAATGAAAAATAAGTGAAAATTGGTTTTAAAAGTTTCACATGTACATTTACACACAAACAGGAATAAGCGCACTTAGACAAGCATCTACACTTACTGCGCAAGTCCCAAGGAGCCCCGTGAGATTCAATAATATTGTAACTACCTCCCACAGAGTATGTATTCATTCACATGCACACACTCACACAAACACTTTACACAAAGCATTACAATGTTCTTTAGGTTTATACAAGAAAGACTTTGAAAACTCATTCAAAAATGCACTGGAAGTTTTAAATGACAGATCCAAAACACAATGTATTGGGATATGATATAGAAAATTAATTTCATAATCACTAATTTATTCATAATTATCATAATTAATAGGTGCTATGATACCCTCTAGTGGGGCACGCAGGTCATACCTTTGGTAATAACTTTCAATTGCCTCAGAAGTATGATGCTTGCTATGTGTTCTTTTAATATGTTTCTGAAACAAAACAAAACAAAAAGAAAGCTTCATGTTGTGACATGGGTTAAGTTCAAGAACAAGAAGGACACATTTCCCGATCCCACTGACTTAAGTACAGGCAACTAAACAACAACTTGGGAATCTGGGTAGTGCTAGGACTTTTTTCCCTTCCACATCATGAACCTATGCATTTTAATCTCTGTTGCTGGCTGGGATGTCTTCAGACTGCACCACAAGGTACAGTGTATATGTAAAAGCCAACAGGGTCAGAGTAATCGAATCTAAATAAGTTTGCTTAGGGCTGCAGAGGGCAAAAGAAAACTTGTTCCCTCTTTCAACCTTTGTATTAATTTTCCTTCAATTCAATTCCTTCTAAGTCCTCTGCACTCTAGTTTTACAATCCAATTGCCATTTTTAACCAGGAAGAACATTGCTTAAAAACAACTTATTTGAAAACTACAAAAAGTAATTCCATAGAGACTTGCCACTTGACTGACACCTGTCATCTCATGATAAATGACTCCATTTTCTGCCTCTCTTGCCTTCTGCCACTCCAGCAATGGTCATTTATCATCATCTCTGTCAGCAATGGAAAACGGCACTGACAGTGCAAGTCAGCAAACATTTAGCACATGGAACCACGCAACACAGGGAAATTATTATTGTCAGAATAATAATGGTTTAGCATAATTTATTACAGGTCCACCAAATAAGCAAAGGCTAGATGTTATTAGACAGATGGATGGGTAGGCTTGGCAGGCCTCCACTGAGACGCAGGCGGTGCTTGATGTGGAAAGGAGAACATCCTCCAACCCAATCAGAGAGCTGGCAGTTCAATTACAAAGAAATAAAGGGACATTCATCATTCAATTAGGCACCTGTCAGGCCTCACAAAGGAGGAAACTTCTAACCTGGTACTCCTGGGAGAAGATACTCAGCAGAGTGGCCTGCGATTGACTGGAACAAATAAAAGAAGGACAAAGTTAATTACTGGAGTGCACAGCAAAGAAACAAAAGAGAAAGCAGCTTCAAAGGTAGGCCTGCTGCCCTGTAATCTAACAGAACACGAAAACAAGTGTGGAAAAGTTGTTCCAGATGAACACCTCAAACAAAGGCTTCCTGCTGCTAGGTCAAGGGGAGAGAAAAAGGGAAAGGAGAAAACGTGAATGTTTTCCAAGGGAGGTATCACATTATTTGGATCTTTTTTAACACTTTGAAAAAAGTGAAAATCATATCTATAGTATACAATGGTGCTAAAAGGGACTAAGGTAAAATAAGGTTTATTTCCACAAATAAATGATAGAGTTCAGTCTCCTAAGTAGAAGGAAACATGCAGCTCATTCATGGACAACATCCTGCAATTTGGTTTTTTAGCAGACAGGTATCGTCTTCTGCTGCTATCACAGGTATAGGGGGGAAACTTTGTTCTTTCCTAGAAGTAGCCCAGAAACCACTAGAATATTCCCATTGATACCACTGTACTTTCAAAACAGAAGCTTTCCCAGCAGGAAGCAGAGGTCCTTGGCGTGCATCATTCCCGAGGACTGCTGTAAGCATTATTCACCTAAGGCTGTGCAGTGTCAAACGCTTGGCAATGAAGCAAGCTGGAAAACATTCCTCTCAAGTGGGAATTTTCCTCTTGAAATTGTTGACATTTAGAAATAGAACATAATTTTCCTTTCCTCTAAAAAGCAATCAATGTTCTATTACTACTCTTTTAGATTGCCCTCTGTGAATGACCTGATCATATATTGAAAATGATTATTTCTAATATACTTCACTATGGAATTCTAATTTTTCTAATAGACAAGATTGTACTTTAAAAAATTTGACTTCTATAGTATGCTGAAGTTCTGTGAAATAATTAAAACTTCTGTTTGTGAATGAACACTCTTAAGTACATCACAGAAGATTTTAAAAGTGTGAAATGACAGTATATTTGTTCCCTCATGGTCAGAGTATTGCATCTTCTAGATACCTTCAGAGATTCAGCTTTCCAATCATCTCCATCTATACCAAATGACATGAACAGGTGAACCAAAAATATCATATTCACTGAGGAAAGTTCCTAACAATAGAACTATGTCTATAAGTCAAAAGTAATGAGAAATGGTTGAACACAATTATAAATTTCATTAGTCTGATTTTTTAAAATTTTCGGCTAATATTGGAAACTACCCTGAAAAAGCCAATTTTATACATAAAATCTTCCTTTGACGTTTGACTTGCCTCAGCTTAACACACAAATCACATCTACTGATAGGTTTCTGACAACAAGCTTCTGAGGAAAAATGGTAAAATGAAGGCCAGATCTTCAAAAACTGCTTAATTAAAATGTTAGGAATTAATGGGCAATAAATAGAACTTTCCTTACTGTACAGCAAAATAAATGGTTATGCTATTAACCATGTAATGGCACACAGAACGTCAATCACTACGTTCCTAAAGATATAATGAAAATAATGCATTTGCAGTGACTAATGAGGTGGAAACTAACTGTAAATAAAACAAAACAGAATTATAGGTACCCAGAAGGGGAAGACCTAAGAGACAACTGGACGATAAACAGGTAAGGTGAGACATGGAGATGGTGAGAGTACAGTACAAATTCAAGATGAGACAGGATAGTGCCTTTAACCAGAAAAAGGGTCTCTGAACTTGGTAGAAGTTGATTCAGCCAAAACCCATGGGCACAGCTCATGTAGCAATCCACTTTCTCTGTGGTCAAAAGGGTTAGAGAGAATATTGCAACTTACAATAGGAGTAAATCTGGCTGAAACTAAAAGAGGAGGCAATTTATATGTTTTACCAACAAAAAAACACACTTGGTTCCAGAATGTGCAGAGAACTAAGTGACTTGCCAAGGAGCCTGAACAAGCCCACCACAGTCCTGTACATGCTAATTTCACAGAACAGGGTTCTGAAGAAATACTACACCACAAAGAGCAGGAGGGTAACTTTGGTACAAGCAAGACTGTGATCCAACTGTGCATTTTTCACCTTTTCTTCTAGTACATTAATGCTGAGAAAGTGTACCAGAAGGACAGACTGGACAGGGAAGGAGGAGAACAGTCTAAAGAACTCACCACTACCAACTTCACCCACTACATTACTCTTCTTATTTTAAAGGTGGGGAAATGAAGAGAAGTTATGGAAAGCACACCGTCAAACAGCCAGATAGGTGGTAGAGCTGTGAATCAAAATCCAGATTCAATTCCAGAACCTAACCCCTTTATCCCCATGGAAACCTGCCTTCCTACCAGTCCAAGATATCATGATATTCTGCAAGTGATATATGCTAATATCCCAACTTAAGCATTTATATGATGTCACATTACACTCCAAACAACTCTGCAGGATGAAGCAGGTTCCTTTTTTATTTTTGATAGAAAACTGAAGCCACAGGAGGTCAAATGCTTTGACCAAATTCCATGGTTTCAAAAAATAATCCTTTCTTGAAAAATCAAATTGCAGTTTCTCTTTAATTAGCTATATAATACAATCTTTTTGTGTTAAAAGACAAAGGAGCTAGAGATTACAGAGAACAGCAAAGGATTCAAAGATTGTTGGGTCATTTTCATTATTCTCCCTACAACTAAGGTATATTTTAACTGCCACCACTGCTGCAAGTATCTCTTATCTGGCTGTGTATGTGTCTTTTACTCAAATGGTATTTACTTTGTATAAAGCAGTGAAGCCTTCCCTGCATATGCTAAATACAAATATTCTCATCTTTACAGGACAGCACTCTCTATAAAGGTGTTAATTCAATGAAACAATATTTAATGAAAAGCTTCTGGCAGTGAGCAGGTAATGGCAAGTGGATAAGCTGGGTTGCTGGGGGTCCCACTGGGTCCTTGCCAGCATCTAGGGGTTGACTTTGATCCCGGCTTTTGGGACACAACAGATGGCAGAGTGGTGAAAAGCAGAGAAAAAGACTGTCAGAAATTTGGTGTTCAAACGCTGGAATACAGCAACTTGAGGAAGAGAAAGGAGATCCCCAGAACCCAGCAAGGATCTGAAGTGACAACTGAAGCTCACAGGGAGAATAAAGAAAGAAACCTTAACTCAGATGAAGAGGTGGCAAGCAGGGCTTTCTCCCTGAGCCCTGACTCACTGTAAGGAAGGGGTACCTCGGACCTGCAGAAGCATGGTAACTACTACAAAGCCCAGGGGCCTTCATGGAGAATCACACCAATGGACAGGAGCAGCAGACACAGAGGAATTCGGTGGAACGGAGTTCAAGCTGGAAGGAGGGTAAACAAACCAGGCTCCAGCCTCAAAGCCAGAAACCAACCTGAACCTTAATGAGACTACAGCTGCAAGCTTACTGGGATTATCCACTACTTCACCATAAGTCTATGGCTGCACTGCTGGGATTCATCAACATGGGTCTGGGCTATGTCTGCCCACTCTGTCTACCAGTACAGCAGAGATTCTCTGAAGTGGACTTGACTTTTTTCTCTTCTTGGCTTTCTTTTCTTTCTTGATTGTTCTTGGTGTGAACATTGCCTCCAGTTTTTTTTCTGTTGCTGAATTCTGTTCTTGCTTTTATCTTTTCCTTTTCTTTCCCTATCTTCTTTACCTGTTTCCCAAGTTTTGTTTTTTTTTTTTTTTTTTTAATCTTCTTTGGTCCTCCAATCTCACTTCTAATCACTTTCTCTCCTTCTAGTTCTTTAAAAAAAAAACAAAAACAAAAACAAAAAAACTCCAACCCCTTTTAAAGTAGGGTAAAATCACCATATTAAGGGTATATTTACTGTATACAACTTTCTGATTTGTTTTAGATTTTGTTATATTACTACAAAAAAAGTTCATATGTGGGGCTGGTGAGATGGCTCAGTGGTCTAAAGCACCTACTTAGAGCACGCTTAGCAAAGCACAGGGACCACGGCTCAATCCCCCAGCACCACATGCCAGCCAGCCCTGCCCCCTGGTGGGCTGAGCTGGCCACACACACACAAACACACACACACACAAATAAATAAAAAAATTTTTTAAAAAAGTTCATATGGTTGTGAAAAATTAATAGTCACTAGTTTGTCTTTTCCTAGACTGTCTTTGACACTGTTGTTGGTGTTGACTACTACTTAGCCAAGTCGACATAACTGTTCTAAACTGTTATTCTTCCTGGTATGCCAACACTTAGACTAAGGGTCATAAACAATAGAATAGGTCAATGCCAAAGAATAAGAAGCTAGGCCAAATAGGCTCTAATTTCTAATCCTCAATAATTTAAAGAAGTAGGATCTTGCAACAGCCTCAAAACAGAATACTCCCAGCACCCCCAAAAGACAGCTCACCTAATCACCAACCCTTCCCTCTTAGCAGTGAACCAATTCTGCTCTTGACTTGCTTTTCTTCATAGTCCTATGACACAAATACATCTCCCTCATTCTAAGATTGGCTTTGCCTGTAGAAGACTGTACATGGGGTCATTTTATTATACTATGCCCTCTTTTACATCTAACCTTTCACAAAACATCTGAGAGTGATCCATGTTCATGCAAATGCATGAACTCATTTTCCCTGCTATATACATTCTCCTACATTAGAGCGCTGCTGCTGTGATCTCTTGCGCAGGTCTCTGGGTACAGATTTACACACACCTCTAATGGATATAACGATTAGGGTGGAAGTCAATGGCACTGACATGCATATCTACAGCCTTCAGGGAGACTGTAAATTTTTCCAGTGGTTGTAGCAATTTTAAACTCCCACCAATACTCCATTACTACACGTTCTCTTGTTTACCTCTTCATTTTCTTTGTGGTATCTTCTGAAGTGTAAAAGTATTCAACTTTGATGGACTCTTAATTTATTATTTTGTTTTGTTTTAGTACATTTTATGCTTTGTCTAAGAAATATTAGCCTGCTCACACTCATGAGATATTTTTACATAATTTCTTTTAGAAGATTAATAGTGTTGGCTTTTACACTTAGCTCTATGATCAATC